ACTGGAGGGGCTGAGGCAGGAGAAATGCTTGAACCCAGGAGGCGGAGGTTGCAGTGAGCCGAGATCGTACCACTGCACTCCAGCCTGGGGACAGAGCAAGACTCTATCTCAAAACAAAACAAAAAACAAAAAAAGATATGCACTAGGTACTCACTGAATGTCAGATTAAAAAGATACACTTTATTGTCTTCAGAAGGAATGCACAGTTACAAAGTATGGTGTTAACCACTGTAATAAGTGCAATAAGTATTTGGTATTGCAAAGGGCTGAGAAACACACTCTGTCCTACAATAGTGAGTTAGGGAGGGAGGGCTTCTTTGACGAAGTAAATGTGTTAAGTTTGAAAGATGAATAGGAGTTTACCAGGTTCAGAATGAGCAAAGGAAGGAAGTATTTTAGGCAGAGAATGTTACGTGACTGAAGGCACTGATGCCAAGAAAGCAGGAGCACTCAGGAAATAGTGAGTTCTTATTTGGGAATGTTTGAATATGGAATGATTGGTGATGATGCACAGAATGGTGTTAGAGGGTAGGAGAACGAGTTGAAAAGGTGAAAACGCAGGCAGAGCCAGAAGTCAAAGGAGCTTGGAGGATACAGAATTAACCCCATGGACCCACACTGGACACCAGTAGTCATATCACTTTTGTTTGGCTAACACATGGATTTTGCTCATTTTAAAAATATTTGAATTAGACTAGCTTTACCTCCTCCATTTAAAGTAGATGCACCCCTTCCTACAGTATTCCACCAGAAGCCTTACATTCTTTACTACTCCCCCAGGCCCCTAAAGTCGCGTGAGTGTGCAATTTCATGAGCAATATAAAGTCATCAGAGGATGTTAGGCAGATTGAACAGATTTGTATTTTAGAATGATTGCTCTAGCAATAGTGGCTATTACAGTTGGGAAGGGGAGGCAGGCAGGCCAAGTAGATGCTACAGCAATAACCGAGGTGAGGTACGATAACACTCTGGGTTAAGGTAAAAGATATGGGTTGTGAGCTACAGATTAGGAAAGTCTTCAGAAAGTGGCTACCATAAGAAGAGTCTGCTGAGGACCAACATTTTTAGAAATAGGCAACTTTCCAACAAAGGGATAGAAGAACAGACCAGGGAGAATGACTGTATACTGAATTCAAGATTGGGGCATGTTGAAGTTTAGCTAATAGGTTGACAAGCCGGATATCCATGAGCGGTAGGAAACAGAAGACAACCAGATAATTAGAAGGAACTTGGAACAAAGTATGAGGTGTTTGAAGACATAGGGACGGCTGTTTCTGCTGAAGTTGCAATGAAGGAAGAGACAGCTGTAAGGCAGAATATGGGCAGTTATGGGAAGACAAATCTGTTATGAGACCAGATGAAATTAGCATTAAGAAGAGAACTAGGAGACACTGGCTTGTGAAAACCAAAGAGAAAAAATGGGTCAATGGCTTGCCCAGGCCAGAAATGCAAGTAGCAGGAGTTGCTGCTTCTGACCCAGGCCTGCCTGTTTTCTGAGTAATCTTTGATTGCTACCCTCCTGGTATGTATCATCCATAATAGTCAAAGTGGGCCAGACCTTCACCGTTAAGCATCTCAGTCTCCCCAGAACAGGCCTTTCTAGAGTGAACTACAAGCAGGAAATCTCCCCTTCAGAGGGCTGGGCTGTCTATTCTTTGGCAGGTAGACCTGGCTTTAGTATTAAGGGCACAAAATTCTCTGGGATGCAAGCAATTCCAAAGGGATCTAAAATGCCATCCCTGCTGCTCACTTTGGAAAGATTATCATGATTATCTTTATTAGCACAGAACTATGTAAAGTGAGATAGATTTTTATTCTGGAGGTGAAAGTGTAAGAGCGGGTAGTCATGCTTTACCCCACCAAGCTCTACATTCATCTACCCTCTGGTCATGTGTAAGTCCCCAGAGTTTAGCCATGTGTAAGTCCCCGTTTTTTGACTCCACTTAGGAGATAAAAATCTCTGTCGATGTTGTTGGGGGTGGGGAAGGGAAGAAGTTCCCCCCCCCCCCCCGCCATATTGTCAACTGCCCTTAGAAAAGCAGGAAAAGAGCAAAGAGCTCTATGGATAAAAGCCCAGATTTTATGGACACAGGGAAAGGCCACTGCAGCTTTAAAGAAACACTTTGTATGTTGAAGTGGGGTCGGAAATGTAATGGAAGCAGCAAACCCAAAGGCATGGTCTTGTGAGAAAAAGTATTTATTTGTCATAGGAAAGCAATCAGGGAAAAGGGAGAGAAAGGCCGTCACTAGAGATCTAAAGCTTATGGATCAGTGTGTGTTACAGCATTGAACCCAATGGTATTATTCCAGTACTTCAGTCTCTCCCACAGACTGAATTGAGCCCTTATTTTTATCCACATTAGGGTATCAGCACTCTAAGTGCCTTTTTAATGGATATTTTTCCCCCAAAAGTAAGGTAATTGGAAGGAGAAAGCCATGATTTAGAAGTTGGGGAAATGGTTAAGGTTTATATTACAAGTTTGGTTTTTGCAAGTGACTACAAAATCATGAAGGGGAGAGAAACGGGATCTCTCCCAGTATTCTCTCAAGTTTTACCTAAGCATTTCTTTTTCTTTTTTCTTTTTTTTTTTTGAGACGGAGTCTGTCTCTGTCTGCCCAGGCTGGAGTGCAGTGGCCGGATCTCAGCTCACTGCAAGCTCCGCCTCCCGGGTTCACGCCATTCTCCTGCCTCAGCCTCCCGAGTAGCTGGGACTATAGGCGCTCGCCACCTCGCCCAGCTAGTTTTTTGTATTTTTTTAGTAGAGACGGGGTTTCACCGTGTTAGCCAGGATAGTCTCGATCTCCTGACCTCGTGATACGCCCGTCTCGGCCTCCCAAAGTGCTGGGATTACAGGCTTGAGCCACCGAGGCCCGGCCTAAGCATTTCTATATATTCAAAGACGCCACTGTGAATCAAACAAGAACGTAACAAAACTCAGAAGACACGGGCAGAGAAGCAAAAGGGCTAGGTACGATGTAAAATGTAACGAGGCTAGCTGGTACATCCAACCCGGTACTAAAAGTCTTTTAAGGACTTGAAGCTTGCTTGTGGAAAGATTAGCTATTAATGTTTGCCAGAGGCAACCCTTCGGCCTTTAGAGAAAATCGCACTTTTCCAATTATAAGAAAATTACCCCATGGTTCTATCCTTGAATTATTTTATCAATTAGTTAAGGGAAAACACAATCTCAGACAATGCACTGTACTGCACTGCGGCTCTGTTGTGTGGCATAGTTCACGTAGCTTTCCAAAAATGCGGGCTATGACAACTATAAAATGTTGGGTCATTTTCTTCTCCAGATGTGATCTCAGAGGTGAATGTTTATCAGCTAAAGCGAGGAAAATGAGTATTTTAAAAGGATTGCAGCTTTCCTTAAGGTTTGGAACACATACCAATGAAGTTTGGTAAAGACAACAGAGGGAAAGCAGAAGGTTGTCTAGGACTTTGTGTCAACATGAAGGCTGTACGAAGACTTTTGAATGTCTCAAAAATTTTCTTCTGACTGCAAAGGTACACTGTTTCAAAATTTGCTTTACTGATTAAAAGCTTTATATGCTTACTTTTAGACACTCGTAAGAGGGCATCAAAAGTGCAACAGCACCTCCAAAGGACTGGAATTTATGGGACTTTATTTCCTACTATTCTGCCTCCAACTCAAGTGCATAAATTTTGCTTTTTAGAGAGTCTTTTATTTATGAAGATGGAATCTGAAAAATGTTGTAAATATTGTTGTACCAACCACTTACAGAGAATTGGAGTATTAAATGATGCTAAATGACGCCATGGCTTCCTCTACCAACCCTTATAAGGTGAGGTGGTATTAGATACAAGTTTTATGGCATAAACAAAAATTACCAGTATGCTTAATAATGAACATTTAAAACCTATTTCCTACAGCCAAACAGGTCGTAGTTTAGTGAGACCAGTGGCAGGAAAATAAATTTCAAAATTACTTTTGTTGATGATTTTCCACACTCACAAGCTTGAAATAGAACCTTACAAAGTATGAGTGATTTTAATCTGAACTGAGTTTTAAAGACCCTCCATATTGAAGTCACGGGCACTATTTTATAATCAAGAATAGCTAACTGGTGCTTCTCTTCATAAAAATCCCTCCTGGGTAACTGATGCACTTGTCAGGGTTTTCCGCCATATAAATAAAAGACATAGTTGTGTACCTCTCATTCTGGTATCAGCATCTATACAAACAGCAAGATGCAATTTGTCAACATGTTAATGATGTACAACAGCAGGAAGTATTTTTATTACTTGAACATTTTTAGACATTTATAAACTTATTAAGAGAGAAGCTGCACATGGATTATAATAGACCTATCTGGGTCCCAGGAAACAGAACTCCTCTTTGGGAAAATGTCTTTCTCATAAATTATCATTATTTGTAAAAATAAAAATTCCTAAGTTGTAAGTTTACCAAAGTTTTTTTTTTTTTCCTTTGGAATCCACTGGTCTCTAATACTTATTATGTATGTATGTTGCTTATCAATTACGTATTACCTATACACATATAGCATATATTTAAACATGTATATACGTGTACATACATACATTCATTTCTGGAAAATTATTAAACTCCTTTTGCTTTTACTTAAAATAAACCACACCCATTGAAAACTGGATAAAAGCCTTCTGATAAAGTCTTATCCTAAAATGAAGTGTGTATGTATATACACAAAGTCAACATTAATTCTGAATACTGCGCAAACTATATTCTAGTTAAAAAATTTACAGGGATCAACTAGTTACACACTGAATCATGGGAGAGAGTGTATAGGCTGATTGTCGCTTTGAGTTATGCCTTAATTACCCTGTTTCTAGTGCACTAACTTGCTAGCCACCTTCTTTTTTGTCCCCTTTATTTTTCTGAGAAGGGCAAAACATCCTTGAAGATCACTGTTACATTCATAGCAATGTGTTCTACGTTTATGGAAAACCTAAAAACCAGAGAAAGTCCACAAAATAACAGTCATTTCAAACCAGAGACAATGCATTTTTTTCTCATTTATTCAAATTCACTGCAGGAAGTAAACACTAAAAGATTAAAAAACAAAACAAAAAAAATTCACACTGCAGTATGTACAGTTTCATGACATCATATGAAGAAATTAAATTTCTAATAAAAATGACAAATTATATTACTGAGCAGATCGCATCAAACTTGGTTGTGTAAACACCAGAATTCTTACTATGAATGGTAATGTGCCTGTATTCCAGTATTGCTAATACCGGGATACTCTTGGAATAATGTTTGCAATGGGATTAAAAAATTCATGAAAGTAGTTGTGTGAATTCTTTATGTTTAAAAGTGGTTGACGATTAAAAAAACTGTTTAAGACCCTTGGATTCAAAGCACATTCTTTCACAAAGCTTAAACCACAGACGTCATGTCCAGAAATGGAATACTGTCATGTTGGGATGAACATCTGATCTGATTTGTTAAGACATTTTGCCAAATGCACAGATGCACAGGGTCCCCCATGCACTTTTCATGCAGCAGGTAATCACAACTTAAATAAAAGGTTTATTCTATACATTTGTCCAGACTTGCAACTGTATACATACATGCACAACTTTTAAACCTGTCTGATTATATTTACACTTATACATGGAATATACAGGAACCAAAGAGATTAAAAGGCTTTTCTGTTGCATTAGAACAATACAAAATATGTATTTTTCATTAAGGAAATCACTATTTACATCACCTTTAAAAACCGATTTTAACATCTTCATGTAACAAGTCAATATATATATATACATATAATATATATATATATAAAATATATACTCTCACCAGTTTACTCTTCTGTAAGATGCAGCAGAGAATAAACAGGTAATGAATACTACCTTACTGATGTCAATGAGAGCTGTAGTACCCTTTCACAAATGACTTTATTAGAAGAAATTGTCTAGATATCTAAAATAGTCCTTGAAAATGTGTGTATGTGCATCCTTGTATCTACATATGCATAAACAAAGTGAATCTGTGGATGTATACCCCTTCTCACTGTTCTTTAAAATCACCCTAAATTCAAATTGGGGACATTCTCTAGTAAATCAGAACAGCATTCTTTGTGGTCATGTTTAAGTATTACATATTCTCATTCCTTTGTTAACAACAACGAAACCAACCAACCAACCAAAAAGCAAAACAAAACCCATAAGAGAAAAAAAAAAAAAGCAATGCTGGCCCTTGACAGTCTTTTCCCTGACCTAAATTTCACTCTCTTGTAAAAAGGCCATTTCCCCCTACCCAAGGGAGAACACCAACATATTTTTTCTGACATACCTCTAAGGCTCCAAACCTTTCACAACAATCAAGAAAAACGACTTGTTTAAAAGCTTATTTATATAGTGTTGACAATAAGATTGTCATAGTATGGACATGGAGTAGAATATATTCAACTGGCCAGTGGAATTTTACGTCAGAATAAGCCTATGCCTTCACTTCTCCATGATGTTGCATAATACCCACTCCTATTACTGTATAATATTTCCAGTAGCTATTTACAAATCATTCTGAGGAAAAATAACCATTTAGGGTTTTAGATCATATTATGAAATCACACCTATTTTTAATATAAAAACCTTAGAAACCACTTCAAGAAGAACAACTTTAAATCAATATCCTTCTAACTAGTAGTGATTATAGAATAATTTTTGATAGGTCATTTGCTAACCAGGCTCACAATTAAAAACAAAATGTCTGGTGAATGAATTGTGGATTGTACAAACTGAACATAAAAACAGACCTGTTTCACAACTGAAACCCCATGTGGCTTCAAGAATATATTAAGTTCTTCTAAGACTGTATCAACATTTACTTTTCATCACTATTTTAAAAGATCCAATGGAGTGATTGTGTACAATTCTGTCATGTATATGTGCCCGTTGTACTTTTTATTTAGCCAATCTGAATTTAGTGCCTTTCTTGGGTTTAAACTAAATGTTGTAGCCTTTGTTGGCATTGTTCTTAGGACAATGGTTTTAATAAAGGTTAAGGATGTATTCGGGAGAAGTTTCCAAACCATCCTGGAATCACCTGAGTTTGGTAAGTGGCCCTGTTTTTCCATCCCTAAGGCTACCTAAGTAGATGTTACTCATTAGAACACATAAATAATCACAGATTTTCCTGAGATGTTGAGCCAGATATGAAAGTTATCCCCTCCACCCAATTTTTTTTGTCATAAAAAGTGTTCTGAACCCGATTTCCAAAGACATAACGGTAATATATGAACTACAATATTGCAAATTTTGAGCTGATGTGTGACTGTATTGGGGAAAATAGAGGCATCAAATTGTTTGTTTTGTTTTACAGTCTCATGTTCTGAGGAAAGTCATAAGCCATGGTTCTCAAACACAAGAAACACCTAGGGAGCGTGTTAAGATGCAGATGGAAGATTCCAGGTTCACTTAGCAGAGATTCTTGTTCTGTAGATCTGAGATGCTGCCTATGAATCTGCATTTTAAAACAAGTGCTCCAGATGGAGATGGTTCTAACGCAAGTGGTCAGAGTTCAGCTTTAAGGAATCCTGGTCATAAGACTCGCAGGTACCACAGGAATGGTGAGAATTAGCTTTTACAAGAGATGGTGAAAACGGTCCAAAGAAAAGCCATTTTGCTTCTGTTAAAAACAATTTCTTAAATATTCAACTTTTCAGGAAACCACCTAAAGGCAAATGTTAACTTTTCTAATTCTGTAAAAGGAGGAGTATTAATTTAGTAAAGTAGTTAAAATACAAAAAATGGAAATCTGCCTTTTTTTTTTTAAAGGATCTATCAAACTTCCCTCAATTGTAATCAATTTTTACTAAGTAGTACAAGGTTTAAAGAAATCTATATTGAAAAGGATCAGGGTGGACAGACACATTGGGAACCACAAAACCTCTTCCAAGAGTTAAAAATAAACACTTTTTTTTTTTCTTTTTTAGCAAAAGTGAAAAAATGTAAGCATATATTTTTCTAATTTATTTTTGAATTGGATAATAAGCTGTGAATCAGCACTAGGTTTTTTTTTAATTGGATAATTATCCTTTAAAGAGTTGTTTAACAGTTTGGACTTTAAAAAATGTGTTATGTAGGCTGACTTCTGAAAAGCAAAATAAAGTACCCTAATAAAGGCAGCAAAATGCATTATTCCACTATGAATGGAGTTTTACATTTTAATTTATGCCTATTATTTATGTTTATAAAAGAATTTCATTCATAGGCTACTCACGGTTGTTATCTGATGCATACAGAAGTGTTAAACAACCAATTGCTAGTTCAGTAGTTTCCTCATGACATCTAATGTTAAGCAAAAATTAGTATGCATATTTAAACATCACCAGTAACCAATACTTTTCAAAATGAAAAAAAGTTTCAATTATACCATGCTTTTCTCAAATCATGCTCTTATTTATACAGATCTCAAGTTCATACTCATTATGTTTTAAAAAGATCCCAAACTGGATGGCAGGTACATTTTATTCTGATTCTTTTTTTATTGTTAGCACGTTTCCCAGAAGTCCATAAACTTCTCCGTTTGCACTGTGTGGGCGAGAAGCATTATTTCCCATATGGCTATTGTAAGGGCTTCTTAAATTAAAGAAAGAAGCTCTCGTTTCTGCAGTAGGAAGTAACTCTTCTTTGATTGTGACCTGTGAGAGACTTTCAGCAGATGAAGGCTCCCTCCAAATGTCTTTGTCTTGTGTTTCTCGACTGGTAACAGAATTGCCTCCTTTCTGCAGCATATAATATAGTATTGGGTTGGTTTTGGTCAGTCTTGGGGAGTCTTTTTCGTACTCATTCTTCTCCACATCAGTGATAACCCACTTAATGGGTCCTTTCTCACTGGGCATGGAACACCCATTCAAAAGCCCAGATTCTGGTCTAGACCCTGCACAGCCCAAGTGCTCAGGGAAAGTAGGACTCACAGGAGTTTTTACTACTCCTGGGTATGAAAATGTCCTGTTATCCATGCAACTGCTGGGCTGAGTGGGACTGTACATCAGTCCATTTAAAGAAGAAATGCTAAATTCAGGTTTGCTGTTGGTCACATTATTTTTGTGTCCTTTCTTTTTACTGTCAGCAACAGAGTTACTTCTGTGCGGGGACAAATCTCGCACACAGTTTTCTGAGAGAAGCAGCTGTTTCAGAACATTGAAGCTTTTGCTCTCTCTGGCCCAACTCCTATGTTCACTTTCGCTGGCTGAGCCATGACCAGCAGGATATTTAAACTCAAGATCATTTCTGCTAAATTTCAGCTCTTCCTGGTTAAGCAAGGGCCCATACAGTACTTCTGGGGTACTGTGATTGTTTGCAGCATCAACAACGTTGTTTTTCATCTTTTTAAATGGATTTTCTAATGGCTCAGTATAAAGCTTCCTTTTCTTAGGGACCATGCACAGATTCTTTGATTCTAGAAGTGCCATTTCATTACTTCTGTGACTCTTGTCTGAATCATCTGCCAGGTAACTATCTGGATTTTGTCTTAGCAATCGACTTAAGAGACCATTCTTTGAGAAAGAAAAATCCTGAGGTGAAACAGGCTCCGATTTAAAGTCTTCGGACACTGGTAAGGCAGGTGCGCTTCTCTGCACAGCAGGAGCCATACCCAAGAATGGAGCACTCTTGGCATCATGGCTCAAGTGCACATTTGTATTAGGAATTTGTAAGTCATCACAAGGCTCAGATTTTATTTTCACCATCAATATTTGTTCACTTAAAGCTCTCTCTGAGTGTTCCTGAGTACTTTCATCTCTTAAGAGAGTTTTCTCTTTCTTTTCACTTTTACCTTTGTTGGGGTTTCCCAGGAGCAACTGGAGGACGGTACGTCTTTCAAGCAGATTTTCTATTTCAGAACCAGAAAGCCCTGGTTCAGGACCTGTTGGTTGACTACTAAATGCTTGACTTTCTTCAGCTGCATTCGTTTTATTTGCGAGCAAAGGGCTATTTAATCTATCAATCACACCTATCGGTTTATCTGTGTTTACAGTTAACAGCTGTTTGCTGGGTCGCTGCTCTTCCACTGACATGGAAGACTGCAGTCCACATTGTGCTAAGTTTTGTAACAGCTTACTGGCACTGAAAGTTGCAGAGTTTTGTGCACCTTCGTTTTGGGCTGGTTTCTCTCCTGGCGTGTCTTTGCTTTTTGTAAGGTCCATTGAGTGGTTAGATGCAGTCTTTTCAGACTGAGTACTGCAGGCATACGCTGGGGAATTCCATTTGATGACCAGAGAGTGTTGAGAGAGATTGATGGGAGACTCTGCTTTGGCTGACGTAAGTAATGGTGGAGTGCTCACTGGCGTAGTCCGATTTGTACTGGGGCTTTCTATCACAGAAGTCCTTGCATAATTTTGTGTACTGAACTTGGTCACATCATTGTGTACTCCCTGAGGGCTGGTGTTTTTTTCTACATTTTCTTCATTCTTATGGCCAAGTAGCAATTGAAGAAGTGTTACTTTCTGGTGTGAGTTTAGCTTAGAATTCTTTGAGGTATCTTGATCTTCTTTGATATCTACGTCTGGGACTTTTGGATCCCAAGTGTTTAGCAAGGATTGAGTAAAGTTATCCAGGGAAACAGGTTGGTCAGATTCTGATTTTTCAGTTCGGTGTTTGCAAGACAAGTCTATGGGAACACAGTTGGAATAAGAACTTTCATCACCACTGCTGTCATCTGTAAAACTAGGATTGTTATCTGAATATTCATCAATAGTTGTAGGTGTACTACTTTCCTCAAAAATGCTTCCTCTCTCACTGTGACTGTGTCCATTCATTGGCTTAGGTATAGTCTGGCTTTTAAGAAGATGTAAAAGCAAACTATTGTTAGCAGCTTGTTTTATATTGTTTCTTTCCAGTGAGTTCTTATAACCTGCATTTTTTGGGGAAGAAGGAATGATACCCATTGGATTTTGAAATGTTGTTGCACTACTTTTGCTAGCCATCAGTTTGCTTGATGATGTTCTAGCCTGACCATTAAGATGGCTTGACATGGCTTTTGAGAGCTGGAAACTACCAACATCCTTCTGGCCATTTTCTTGCAATCTGGCCATAGCAGCAAGTCTTTCACTTGCTGCTTGATTTGCATTTTGTGTTTTTAAAGCATGTTCTCGAGAATACTGCTGCAAATGGGCTTCGCTTGACAGAAGTAATGCTAACTGGCTACAAGCAACACTAGGTTTCGGGGAGGTGGCAGGACTAGCCCTTTTTTCTACCATGCTTGCAACAGCCTGTAATCTTGCAGCACATGACAACGGTTCACTCATGACCTTTGCTCCACTTTGTCCAACGTGATGAGGAGACTCTGCAAACCTATCTCTGATGAGGTTTTTAGTCACATCAGGAAGATTTGTATCAGGCTTTTGATCTTTAACTTTACTTTTCTTCAACAAAGTTTTTAAGTGACTTGATGCAACACCATAGCACCTTAAATCCTTCTCCACTTTTAAAGAATCATGACTGAGGGCATATCCTTGCTCCTTGAGGCTCTGCCTAATTTGTTGTGACAGAGCAACAGTCTGCAGCCTGGAGCTGAACGACTGAAGCAAAGAGGCCAGTAATGTGCTATCCTGTTTGCCTTTAGGCACACTGTCAACCATGCCAGCTAGCAAAGCTTCCTTCTTTACGTTTAAATTTACGATAGAATCAGACAGCCTCTTCCGCTTTGCTGCATTCCAGTCCTCAGAAGACTGCAACAGTCTGGCTTTTTTGAGGTGCAGCATGCCAGATCCCTGGTATGTATGTGTATTGAGAACTGGACCATTACTTTGACAGGTGGGAAAGGCACTGCCAGAAATGTGAAAGTTCTGATCCTCTTCATTATTCCCAGCAGACTTTTTGTCGACGGCAGTACCTGATCCCCCTGCTGCCTGATGCATTAGTAATCCTTCTAGGTAAGTTAAAACAATAGAATCCTGGTGCACATCAGAGCCAAGCTCTTCTCCATGAGTCATGTTCAATAGAAGTGTTCAAAAGGGCTTGGTTTCTATTCACTTTAAAGAATGGTTTTCTGTGGTGAGTGAGACGTAACTTTAATAAGTGAGTATCAGTTTATCACCTTCCATAGCAATCAGAGAGAGACGTACTGTTACATTCTGTCCAGGATTTCTTCTGGCAATGACAAGATAAATGCAGTCTGACCACAGAGCTGATCAACTTCTATGCAAGGAGGAGGAGAATTCCTTAAAACACAGGTCTGTAGCAGTAAGCAGATAGAATCCTTAGTGGATATATTCCTTTTCCTTCTTCATCGTTTGTTCCCCATTAAATGCAAATACCAGTGTTCTAAAAAAAATAAAAATAAGAATAGTTAAGGAGGCAGAACTAGAATCATGTTATGATACCTACAAGCAAGATAATATAGCATTTCTAAGTGTATATGTATATTACATAAAAATAATAGACATATATATGGATTATAGTCACGTTAGTAATTTGTTTTATTGCCATTCCTATTCCATTGAAAATGTCTACTGGAAATCCTGTGGGTTAATCCATACTGTTAAAATGATCAAATCATTAGAGAAGAGAACATACTTTAATGTTATATAACCATCTTCCAAAGCCCGCCAAGTCTCTGAATTTTCATAAGCACCTTTCTGTAAAGTAATGTGAATGTTAAGTCTCCTGTATAGCTTTATAGCTCTATAGGGGAACTAGAACCTGCTTCCTTACATTGCTGGGCACTTAGGAAGAAACAAAAGTAGATGTGCAGAAAAAGGAAAAGAGATGCAGACTCTGATGAGTCTGATGTGGGGCTGAGGCCAACAGAACAGATTCATTTCTGACATCATCCCCCAAACACCAGACATTCCATAAGTAATTTTTAGAATTTCTGTTTTCAAAAAAATGAAACCACTAACAAGTTTAAGATTATTTTGTGAGTCTGTTCAAAGTGTGACCATCTTAGTCATATTCATAAACATTAAAATACAGTCATATGGAGGAGAGTGATTCTTTAGATGCTTGTTTGGGGCTATCAAGGGTTTAATGTAGTTTGTTAGTAAATCCTTCCTCATGTGCTCTATGGAGAAGTCTTAATGTCAGGTCCATTCCTTACAGATACAGAAGACAGGGAAGGCATAAACATATATAAGAAGTACAATGGAAAATGCCAAAGACATTTTAGTCACAGTTTGAAAAACATTCCAATGGTATTTATTATCTAAGAAGATACCAAACGATTTCCTATCACTAACACATACACAACAGAAGCAGCAAGAACTCATTGCATTTCTGCAAACTTGATAGATAAGTGTCAATATTGACCTAAGGAATGGGGCCAGTACACCTTTGGAAGAGAAGCTGGAATAAATTCCAAGAATTTTGTTTTTCAAGATGCCAGAACATTTTGTTCAAGTTATTAGACCTGAAGCTATCAACAAATACCGTGGTCCCTATGGAATTGAAAAGATACATTTTAATTGAAAGATGACCCTGTAGCCTTTTGAGTACAATGCTTAACTCTAAATCAAACTTTAGGAAAGAATTATCTGATTGTATCAAATTGTTGAATGTATTGATTAAAAGGGTAAGAAATGATAGCCACAGAAAAAGATAGAGAAAAGAGGCAGCAACAATTAATTTCAACTGTGTAAGGAGTAGGATGAGAAGAGACCTTCTTGAGAGTCCAGTACCACCATTTTAAAAAGCTTTGCCATAATGTACTTAAGATGGATATTTTAAGAGGTTAATAATGATATAGAGATGAAATGGTGATGACGACTGCCACCAAATAGCCATTCTCCCATTTTCCTTTCCTAATAAAACCCTGACTTGCTTTTCAGGGAGTAGGGAGGTATCCCAGCTAAACAATACTTTTTTTTTCCCCCCCATTGGTATATATCTTACAATTGATGGCATGTTGCTTAACTGGAGGCTTATTTTTCTTTCTTAGTGGTATAAAACGTAAGGACACATTTTACAACAATAACATCTTGGAGTTGAGGAAAGTTTTCTAATTCTCTTAAAAAACTTAATATGGCCGGGTACAGTGGCTCACACCTGTAATCCCAGCAATTCAGGAGGCCGAGGCGGGTGGATTGCCTGAGGTCAGGAGTTTGAGACCAGCCTGACCAATATGGTGAAACCCTATCTCTGGAAAAATACAAAAATTAGCTGGGTATGGTGGCATGCGCCTGTAGTTCCAGCTACTCAGGAGGCTGGGGCAGGAAAATTGCTTGAACCTGGTAGGCAGAGGTTGCAGTGAGCCGAGATTGCGCCACTGCACTCCAGTCTGGGTGACAGAATGATACTCCATCTCAAAACAAACAAACAAACAAACACCAAAAATAACAACTGCTAATATACAATTAATTCTCAGCTAGTTAAGACATTTAACCACCATTTAATGGGATATGCAAATCTACTGTATTTCTCTCCATACCACTATCAACCTTTCTGTTCTTGGGTAGAGTCAAGAAAGTCAAAATCATATCAGTCATTTGAAAACTGGTTTGCAAATAGCCATAAAATATACTTTATTTAAGAATAAGAATGAAGTAAGGAGCACCTTTGAGTTCATATTACTCCTGTTATTACTATTCTACTTTTTACTGTGTATAATATAATTTGCAAAGTATTATTCATTGCTTTAAAAAGACTGAATTTACACGTTTCTGAATTTACAAAGCAGATTTGGAAGTTGATTTAAAAAGGAATTACCACAGTTTCTTTGCAAAGGAGCTCTAACACTGTATTTTACCATTTATTTACCTCTCTACCATTTATTTCCTATCTTCACAGAGAAAGTAGATGACAGATATTAGGAATAATCATCTCTTAATAATCCTTTTTTGGCAATTAGCTTTCTCAGGTTGAAAATAATCATTTCTTAAATATGAAAACAATTTTTAACTTCAAGAACAAAAATGACATACACAAGTAATTTTATTAAGCTCCTTGTGTCTGAGGACTGTGCTAATCATAATTAGTACAGTGCAACACAGTCAATAGATAACTGAATCTTGGGATACATGAAATTATTCAATGACCAAATTCCCAGTAGGAAGGAAAGATTTTGACATTCAAACACACACATTCTCTCACTCTCAAAAAATATATAGATGAGATAATTCAAGTCACAAATTTGAAACCACATACTGTAGCTCATCACTTAAAGGAATGACGAGGCAAAGGTCATCCTAAATATTCAATTGTTTATTTAATTTATATCAATACAACACATTCTTACTGAACTCCCAAGCTGCTTCGAGATCTGATCTATCTTAGGATTGGTGAATTATGTTCATTTTTAAAAAGGGATGTGATAGATAGCATCTAGAGAACCAGGCAAGGTGAATGTCCACCTTTAGGTTTCTAGAATATCCCTAATAATAAAAATCTCTTCTCCCCATGCTATTTCTTTTCACATTTTCACATGACTGTTGTATCACCAAGCACAAAAAAATTAAAAAATTGAACGTGATTTGAAAAATCTGCTAAAGATTGTTTTAAGAGTTTTAAATGAAAATTATAAAACGAACATTTTTAGTTTAGAACACGTGGTTACCATAGTATGGATAAAAGTCACTATGTGTATGCACTAAGCTGTCACACCTTCTTCTAGAGAAGTGGACCAGTAACACATTTAGAATAGATTTAAAGGGAAGATGAATAATTGCTTCCAAAATATTCTACGTCAAGGTGGTTATTTTTCATCAATTTCTTTGAAAAAAAAAATCCTATAAAACGTACCAATTACATGAAGCAGTGGAGAAAAAGGATTTTCTCATGGAGACCTGTTTTTTAAATGAGATAAACCTGCAAATCAAAGACTGTGGTCACTTGGAGAGGCTGCCTCAGGTGACACAGCAGCAGCATCTACCACTTGTTCTAGCAGAAAATAAAGTGCCTATCCTAGGAAAGCAGGAATTCTTATACCCCTTAAGGCCTGAATGCACTTCACTCCTTCTATTGAAAGCTCTTCAGGGGCCAGAGTGAGCCAAATTTCTTTAGATATCTTCCTTTTCTATCTCTTAAACAACTAGAGAGGGAGAAATCACTAACAGTCCTTCTCACCTTTCCCAAGTCTTGCCTTTTCCTTCTATAGTATAGAATGTAATTGAGAAATATAGGAAAAAAAGAAAATGAGGCACGATACTTGGAAATAGTACAGCTTGTTGGGACCTATGGATTTAGGGTATAAGGTAAAATATGACCACTACCTAATAAATAGACGTTTTAAGGTTAAAATGTTATTTTAAGTTATTCAATATTAGCTTAACTCATTTTCTTTTCTTTTTTTTTTTTTTTGAGACGGAGTCTTGCTCTGTCGCCCAGGCTAGAGTGCAGTGGCCGGATCTCAGCTCACTGCAAGCTCCGCCTCCCGGGTTTACGCCATTCTCCTGCCTCAGCCTCCCGAGTAGCTGGGACTACAGGCGCCCGCCACCTCGCCCGGCTAGTTTTTTGTAGTTTTTAGTAGAGACGGGGTTTCACCCGGTTAGCCAGGATGGTCTCGATCTCCTGACCTCGTGATCCGCCCGCCTCGGCCTCCCAAAGTGCTGGGATTACAGGCTTGAGCCACCGCGCCCGGCCAACTCATTTTCTTTTAGTGGAAGACAATCACATTATTCATGAAATTCCAACACATAGTTCTCTTGCCTGGCTTTATATAAACATAACTTAAGAGTGTTGCCAGGTGTATACTTGAGTATATTTAGTTACAAATACCTAAATGTCAACACACATTTAATAATTCGGTTTCCTTAAAGCAGTGGCCCCCAACCTTTTAGGCACCAGGGACTGGTTTCATGGAAGATAATTTTTCCATGGACTAGTGGGGTGGAGGTGGTTTCGAGATGCAACTGTTCCACCTGAGATCATCAGGCATTAGATTCTCATCAATGGTGGGCAACCCAGATCCCTCGCATGTGCAGTTCACAATGGGGTTCGCACCTCTATGAGAACCTAATGCTGCCACCAACGTGACAGGAGGCGGAGCTCAGGCGGTAATGCTTGCTGGCCCGCGGCTGGCCGCCTGCTGTGTGGCCCAGTTCCTAACAGGCTTGGCCTGGGGGTTGGGAACCCCTGCTTCAGAGAATTGCAATTAATGTATATTTCTGAAACTGGAATAGTTTATAAAATATTGAATCCACTGGTTTGTCACTTTCCTAATTTCGACGGTGATTTCATTAGCACTTGTGCATGTGTCTATTTAAAGATATTAAACATTTTCATCACAGTAAGGGAGACTTGCCTTGCATGGTATATACTTGTTAAATAACTTCTAAGTAAAGAAAACAGAACTTTTCTAGAATTTGGCTTATGATGGATGAGAAGAACCA